CTTTTATCCACAATGTAAATTATTTCACTCCAACACAGGCTACCAATCACTGAAAGTTTTTATTAAAGTTACAGATGTTCTTTATTCACTCAGAATCATAATCATTAAAATGTCTTCTTTTGTTTACTTATTTGCCATTTAATCAACTTGTGTATTTACTTGTTACTATTCTCACTTCTGACTTTGACTATCTAGCTCTTTCTCTAACCTCTGAAATCCTAACTTTAACTCTAACACATTCCTAACTGAAATCCTCAACTGATATCCCTAACTGATATTTAACTGTCTTCCACTCTCTCCTTATATTTCATTGGTTCCACCTCTTCTGTTCAACCATTGGTTGTTAAATCAGGGTTCCATTGTGATGGACAGAAGTGGTTACTGACCTGTCCGTCACAATCCCCTTCTGATCGCTTATTGTTTTCTTCTACATCTATATCCTGTCCTCTCTTTAATATGGATTGCAAAGGGACTGGTGTTAACGTATCTAAAAGAGGTACATTGTAAGGTTGTGAGTTATCATCTAAGATGGTGTCTCTCTTGATGATTTTCTTTTCTTCTTCAAAATGAGTGACATGCTTTACACTGATGTTTCCTGTTTTTAAGTCCATTACTCTGCATCCTCTAGAACCAGGGTCATATCCAACTAATATTGTTGGTTCAGACCTTGGACCCTATTTGCTCCTTCTGCATGCTGGGACATAAGCAAATGCCTGACAGCCAAAAACTCTGATGTGCTTCAGACATGGTTTTCTATTGTTCCATAGTTCAAATGGAGTACATACAGTATATTTTGTAGGGAGCCTATTCTGAAGATAGTTAGCTGTCATAACTGCTTTTCCCAAAACTTACTGGGTAATTCAGCATCTGCAAGCATACATTTTGTCATTTCTAAGCAAGGACCTCCATTTTCTCTCTGCAACTCCATTTTGTTCAGGAGTATATGGGACAGTTCTATAATGCATGATTCCATGTTCCTCAAACAATACATGGGTGTTCTGGGAAATATATTCACCACCATTATCTGAAAGAATTGCTTTTGGTTTTCTCTCAAACCTATTGTAGCATTCATCCCTGCCCTCACCTGTCCGTCACAGCTGGGCAGTGGAACAGCAGCCAATGAGGGGACGGAAGGTGGTGCTAAAGGGGGAGGAACTGGGATATAAAGGGGTGTGTGTGGAGTTTTCGAGAGATGTGAGTTCAAGATGTAGAGAGAGATCAGTGAGTCTGTGAGACAGTGTGCCAGAAAGTCAGTGAGAGTTAGGGTTCTGTGTTATTGAGTTCAGTGAGTGAAAGAAATTGATTATCAACTGGTGATTTACATATTTTATTTTGTTAATCCAATAAACACGTTTTCGGTTTCAAGGCAACACTTGTCTGCTTAAATAATTGGTACTGAACTGAAGTATTGGT